CTTTTTCATAAATATATATATATGAACTTAGCTATTTGTCTTGTTCCAAAAAGAAAAATAATTCTCTTTTTTAATCTTATTTCTTTGTTCGAACTTCGTTACAATTGGTTTCGTAAAACCTCTCTTTCTCTCTCTCTCTATATATATATATTGAATACATAAATATGTTTATAAGCGTGAATTGTGCTATTTTTCTTTTTCTTGTTTGATCAAAAAAGAAATTCTCATTTCGTTTTCTTTTTCCTGGTGTACAACGATGATTTTCGGTGTTTCTTTTTCTCTATTGTTTAGATGACATTATGAATAAATAAGAAACATATTCTATCTGGATATGAATCTATAGTATTAATATCAAATGATTCAATTGTTTATATGAAAACAATATGAGATTAAATTAGTCCATAGAAATAAGAAAACACTCAAAAATTATCGAATTAAAAAGAAGAAAATTGTTGGAATATTCTTCAATAATATATAATGCATACTCACTGAATCGGAGAAAACTAGGAAACTGCAGGTTCATATTTTTATGGATTCGGACCAGTTAGAAGCTAAATTTCTAGATCGGAACTCAGGTCTAAAAGGACTCGCAACTTCCTAGAAAAAAGTAATAATCTTAATAAGTTCATGCTTGCAATGAGTCTCATTTAGACATGTACGGGATCAAGATTTTCGGGTCTCAGTTTTGCACGTGTTTACTCAGGTGTAATAACTTCTGGAAAAAGAATACGATTAGTAACTGAAAAAATAGAAAAAAAATCATGTTTTAAATAAAAATTTAACTTATTTAAAATGATTTTATGAATCAAACGAGAAGAAACAGCTCCTCGATCACTTATTTCAAGTAAATGTATATTATAAAAGAATTTATCATAGTCATATTCACAAACGGAAAAAAGGACAATTATCTCAAGATGATGAAACTGTTTATTTTTTTTAAAAATATAGGCATTGATATGATTGTGATTTATTTATTCATTAAGATTTAATATTTACAGATTTTATTTGTTTTTATGTTTTCTTATTTATCATAAAGTGTTTTTTTCTGTATTATAAAATAATAAATTGATTTATGATGTACGAAAAACTTTACGTGAAAAGTCATAGGGTTAACGATATCACGTAGGTTCGGATTTCGTTTTCGCATATGCCTAGTCTAGATTCTTCTATCTAATAGTGGAATGAATATTAGGATTTATGGTAAAATCCAAAACATGTAAGTCCTGATATTTTTATTTAATAACACTTGTCTTGACTTTTAGTACTAGGACCTGGTATTTTCTATCTCATTTGATGAGATTATCGAGTAGCAGCTGTTAAAAGATATTTTTGATTTATGAGGTATTAATTAGTAATTGTACTTAAATACATCTTCATTTTCTAGCTATTACACAAAAATAGAACAACTGATAAAACTGTTGATAGGAATTAAATGCTTTATTATTTGGCATGACAGAACAAATAAATTCATATATTTACTACAGAGGATTCCAGTAATAACATAATATATTTTCGAGTAAGTGCAAATAAAATTTATTTAAGGTTACAACCCTAAAAAAGAAAAAATTTCAAATCTAAGATATCTATTTTAATTATTCAAAAATTTATATTTTGTTTATCTTCTCGAATGATGTTTTTAAAGTTTTGTTGTAGTAATATTTCCTATATAAAAGTTCTGTTTCTCCAAGAAAAGACTTCATTGAATTTTGTTTTTTTACGACCAGTCAAATAATGCACTTGATGAATCATATAGTTTGATGATTAATATTATTCGATCAATAAACTGTCTCAAGTAGTGTAACACTATTTGAAGAAAAATAAAACGAGTATTGCTAAAGTGATTGACTTAATGTGTAAAGATTTCGTCAGATTTCTCTGCAGAGTATAAAATTATAAATAAATTATTACATTGGTCATTTTAAATGAATCGCTGAATTTCTTTAATTATCTCCATGGAATAAAAAATCTTTATTGAAATGAATATTGTTCATTTGAATAAATATTTCATTCTAATAATATAATTAAATTTAATTCTATTGATTCATCAAGTTTGAAAGAACTTATAACTAAGTTGTTGTTGTTTTTTTGTCTACTGTAAAAATATAACTTACATAAACATTAAGTTAATGTCACATTTATTTTTAGTAAAAACAAATAATCAAAGTGCGTAAAAACAAAAAGCTCCAATATCTAATTAAATTTCTTATTCTAGACAGTAGAAGTGGTTTTACTGAAAAAAAAAATTCAAGTACTTATATAAAAAGAACTTAATACTTATTACTATAGAGAAATATAAATCAATAATTTAATTTATTAATTATATATTTTATTTCATTTTAATAAATGAAAATACGCATATTTCTTTTATATTTTTTCTTTAGTAGAATAAAATGACGAATAAATATCAATGAAGAAAACTTCGAACTTTTATTTACATGTTTTTTTTTTTAAGTACTTAGTACCTATCAAGGACAATTACAGCGAAAATCAACAATCTTCCAAAAATATTATATCGTCAATTTTGTTTTTCCTTGGTTTCAAGGACACAAAAATAAGTCTAGCTGTCAGAGTAATAATGGCAACAATAACAAAATAATAATATGATTTTCTTTCTTTCTTTTTGACATAAGAAAAAAAAAACGAACGTAACATGTCAAGGTTCACAAGGACAAACAACATATGTTTATCACGTCGTTAAATACAGAGAAAAAACAACGTCCTTTATTTTTTTTTTTTATTCACATACAATAATTTTTTGTTCGCGTTAGATATACACATTGATGAATTATTAGCAAGACTAAAAAATTTTCACAAACTGTTCTACACAACACACAAACAAACACAAATAGATACAAATATTTTCTTCTTTTTTTTTTTTTAAACAAATACAATTAGGACTGTTTATATGCTTTTTAGCGATACTTGAAGCATCGAATAATTAAAGTCATAAAACCGTCTGACGGGTTATTGTCGCATTTTCAAATAAAATTAAAAGACACATATTATTATGAATAAAACAAATAAAAAAAAACTTTAAACATCCATTGAATTTGATGTTTCTAAAAGTCTTTGAATATGTGTATGAATAGGTGTACTTTGATGCATAGAACCAGCACAAAATAATCTTTCAAATATATCTTCTTTAACTTGATATATATTACATAAAAAGAAAACAATTTTAGAATATTTAACACGTGTTGAACACCATGTTAGTAATTTTGTTTGTGTTTGACATTCAGCTTTTTCAAATAAATTTCCATTGAAATTATTAAATAATGTTTTACCTTCTTTATAAATAATCATTTCACGTATAAGATTAAAACCAATTTCATCAATTTCTAATGTTTTACCACGATTTATTAATGATTCAATTTGTTTAACATCATTTTCAGTTGGATGTATAATTATTGTTGGTAATGATGGTATATCATTTGTTATTTGTAAATCTTTTGTAACATATATTTCAAAACTATTTTCAATCATACTTGTTAATAATAAACGATGCCATACACGAGAAAGAAGTAAATATTTATCTTTATTATTATCATCAAATGTATCTCGTATAATAGAAAGTGATAATGTAAAATTAATATTACGTTCAAGCCAATCATTAATACGTGCACCAATAACAGGCATTAATTTTTTTGGTATACAAACATAATCATTATTTGATTCAATATTTAAAGATTTTGGTGAATTTGAACATAGAGGTGAACTCGGTGAAGATGTTGATGATGGTGACGATGAATAACGATAATTTGATGGTATAGGACCTTAACAAAAAAAAAAAAAATGAAAATTTAGTTAATAAAATAAAATAAAATAAAATTTACTATTATCATTTGTTCGATTTGTTCCATTATTTTTACGTAAATCAATTGGTACTGGTTTAAGTAATTTTTGTTGTTGTTGTTGTCCTAATAGACGACTACTTTCAAGCAATGTTTGATATGTTTCTCGTCGATATGGTTGATCATTTGATTGAATATGATTATTATTATTATCACTTTCTGGTTGTGGTTGTACTTTTCGACGTTCACGAAATTTTTCTGTTGTTGATATTTTATTTCCATTTGTATTAACATTTGATGAAGTAGCTGCAGCTACAGCAGCAGCAGCAGCTGCAGCCATCATAGGTGATGGTAATGGTAAATAACCTGATGCGGCTGCTGCATGTAATAATGCAGCAGGATAATTAACACGAAATTGTTGTGTTAAAGTATGCATAAGAGCATATTGAGCATAACCAATAGCGAGAGCTTCTTGTTGACTATATGGAATGTTATTATTATTATTATTATTATTTGTTGTTGTTGTTGATGTTGGCATAGAGAAACCTGATGAAACTGTTGTTTCACTTGAGAATTTTTTATCTTTATTAAGTTCATCATAAAAATGAGCAAGTGATTTACGTTTTCGACTACCAGTTGATATTTGTGGTTGATTATTTGGTTCAATATGATTTGTACGGAATACCTAAAAAAAAAAATATTTTTATCTTAATGTGGACAATAATAATCATATTTATTTTGCACTTGAATATAAAACTGTATTCAAATGATTTCTTACGAGTAGTGTCTGCTTTTCTGCATATGTTAGAAAAAACATGAAGCTTTACAAATACTTACATGGACAATGTTATTATCTGACAATGGACTTGATGATGAAACACCTGAATCGGATGCACATGATTTTACTGAAGCTGATCGAACAATTTTCGGTGTTGTATCATCAGGTGATGGAGATGTTGATGAAATTATTGCTGTTGTTGTTGTTGTTGTTGTATTCATAGTCGTAAGTAAAGGACATGATGAAGCTGGAGCAAGTAAAGATGTTGATGATGGAAATGATTGAGTTAATGGCATTGATTCTGATGGTGAAATAGTAGATCTAGAAGGAGATGATCGTTTAGTTAGAGCAGTCATTGGATAAGATCGACAACGTGGTGGTGAACAACTTGTTGAAATATTAACACTATGATTTGATGTATCAGGTGGATTATTGTTATTAAATGTATGAGTAATAGGTGACACAGGTAATGATGTAGAACATTTAATGTCAACAAGAGTATCTGTTGTATTTGTACTTGTTGGAGAATTTAAAGTAACAATATTAGTTGACGTATTGTATGGTGAAAAGGTACGTGGTGATTGTAATGTTCCATTGAGTAGAGCCGGTAAAATATTTGTAAGTGTACTTGTAGCAGTTCGATGAGAAGATGGTGACGATGAAAGATTACCTTTTCGTAAAAGTGACGGAATATTTAATGATGACGAAACAGATGAAGATGTTGCAGAAATAGAAGATGATTGAAGCATTTGAGTTAGAAAGGCATTCTCTGTTGAAGAACTGATATTATCCTTTCCTATAATAGAGAAGGAAAGAAAGTAAAAATAAAAATAAAAAGAAAATTTTTATATTATTTTGCATAAATAAAAAAGGTGTATTGACTCACCATTAGTATGATGATTCAGTTGAAGTTGTTTGCGTTTTTCGCGAACACTTTTACAAAAAGCAACTCGATCCAGTGTATTGATTGAATGTGGTGGTACAGCAGTAACGGGAATCATGGATAATTAAATGGACTTGTTTAGTAGTCCACTGCAAAATGTATGACCTTATTGGTCTAGAATCATAAAAGAAAATGAAAATGAAAATCGTGTTGTATAATCTATTATAAACGATAACATTATTGTTCTCTTCTTTCTCTTCTCATTCATCTGATCTGTACACATACGGCGATGACGATCGTATTGTCCACTTTTCTTTTTTTTTTTCGTCTTCTTCTTTGTTTTATTATTTGTGATGCTTTAATACCTGTCTAGCCATCATCACTATGTAATCATAAATGTGAACGTACAAAAAACTACTGCAGTCAGAAAGAGAATACTTAACAGGAGCAGTGAGTAAAATGTTAGACATAAGTGCGTATAACTAGTATAAAAAATTTTTATGACTTACATTTGATATCACTAGATACTATGTCATTCATGATTTTGAATATTTCTAAATGACTCGTCTTGAAAAGTAGATCAAGTCAACTTCAAAAAAGAATATTTATAGTTACAATCATAGACATTAGAAAATAGAGCACCTCATTATTTGATCCTCACGAAAGCGGATGCAAGCTCAAAGCAACAACAACAACAACAACAACAATCATCATCATCATCATCATCAGACGGGAACTCCTTATCCACTCTATGTTGTTTTTCTATTTATTTTGAATCAGCTTTCTCTCTCTCTCTCTCTCTCTCATTTTCTTCTCTCCATTTTTTTTCTTGTTTTCAAGGACGCATGCAAAGCGTATATTGTTGGCTAGGGAAAGAAAATGAGTACGACCTTGAACTATATGTCAAAGAGCTGCCCTCGTGCTTACGATAACGCGCGAGACACTAGTAGCGGTGATGATGTTGTTGTTTTTGTGCGTCATCACAGACACGCACGCGGTGGCGCACAGCAGTCGACTTCGAGAAAGCAAAATACGAACGCGCAAAAGCCCATTCATGTTCTTGTTCTATTCTTGTTTTGCATTCTCAGAACAAGAAATAAAAACAAAAAAAAAAATCTACCGTATTTCATTAACTCGTCGATAACAGAAAGAAAAAGAATGAAAGAATTGCTTTTGAGAAACATAAGGTGAGATTCAGCTGCTTATAGTTTGATTCTTAACCTCTGCATAATTAGTGTTGTGACGACAATGTTTTGGTGTTTTCGTTCTACTTGAATCAGTGCTCGCCACTATACATTCTTTCTTTCTCCTTTTTTTCTTTTCTTTTCTTGTCTTGTCTTATTTTAAGCAAAAACAAAAATACAAAGAAAAAAAAAATATAAGTTATTCTTATTTGGAAGAAAAATTGCAGGAAATGTCTATGAATTACTAATATAATGATAAATTAGGAGTATTAAAAATAAACCAAAAGAAAATCCAGGCATTTTCTTTTGTAACTTTACGGACCTCGATATGATCAAAACATGACATTAACAAAAAAAAAAAATTCTTCTTATCTCGGATAATAAGTTTAAAAAATAAAAAGAAAAACGATTCATACGTGGTGGAGGTCAAGGCTCAACGATGAATATATGTATATGTGTATGTGTATGTTCGCTTCTTTAAAATTATTGAATTTCATCATTTCACTATACGTACTTTTGCTTTTTCGTTCTACAATCAATCGAATATCATCGATTACGACAGGCGCGAGGCGAGGGACACGACACGCATCGAACTCAGATAGTATAGAAAAAAAAAATTTGCTCATCTTTACATCGCTCTCAATCATTCAATGTCATTTTATGTGCATTACCTGACTGAGTGCTTGTTTCGGACCAAGTATCTTACCTAATACATATATATATATATACACGGTCAGTACGTTCATTCAAGGAAGACTCATGTAGAAGAAGGTAGAATGTAAGAGAAAAAACGAGAGGAATGGTATATTACGCAACTCCTCATCACCATATGACAATGACGACGCCGTATATATGATGTAAGTTACCACCATCATCACTATCAACATTGAAAGAAGGGTGAACTCGAGGCTGACCTGTCGTCGGCGCCGACCTACACAACAATCATAGCACCTGTACATAGATGCCATTCTCTTGAGCAAGAAATAATGACTGGAAAGCAAATGTGGTTTGTATATATATATATACAATGTATAAATATGGTAGAACGAGAACAAAACCAAGGTGAATGAATGATTCAAATAGAACTGACCCAGACAATAGCGCCAGACATATACACTCAGCAGCAATAGATGTGTTCAATAAAACAGTAATTATGACTTGTACTATACTGTTCAATCGGTCGAATTGACTAGCTAGCCAGTCGTCACTCGTTTGTTCACTCTCTTTCTTTCCTCTCGCCTCGTCTTGCTGAAAGACAACTAGACTATTACAGCACATACATACACAACGTCTAGCCTCTGGATATATAGTTGAACAGACAAACGGAAAGACAGACAGACAGACCGACATGAAAATAGAAAACTCCATTGACTAGTGAATATACATGCATTTTAATATAACTGTCTATTGATTTTCTATATTTCTCTTCTATTAAATACAAAAAAGGTAATCATGACAATAGGTACATTTATTGAAATATACTCATAAAGATTGACAAAACTTGTGAAGAATCTACGACAATATTCAGTTACTTTGTATTATTCAGACGCCTTAGTGTTAGAAAAAGTTATTGATATTAAAAGCGAAAAAAAAAATTGATTATTGCCATAAGTTTCTCATACACAACTCGCTTTACTATTGCATGTGTTTAGATGGTAGTTGTGATATTTCGCAATAGTCTGAATTATAAGAAAACTCAAATTATCGAAAAAGAGAACTTGTCAATATCGATGTAATATAAAACATAATGATTCACGTGAATAAATACTCTTCACAAGACAATCTTCATCAACTCACCTATATTTATTTTATTGACAGTAGTTAGATTACCGTCAAATATTGAATAAGAAGATTTGAAAAAACTAATAGTTTTTGTTAGTTGCAATATAAGAATGAGGAAAGACACGCGTCAGATCAAAATACTATGGAGAGTGTGATTGCGTAGTCGTTGTCGTCTGTTGATTGACCATCAAATAACAACTGAGCATTTTCTCTCCTTCTTCCTCTCTCTCTCTCTCTCTCGCTTTTCTTTTCTCTAGATACTGTTCTCTTCTATTCTTTTTCTCTTTCGTGCTTGTCGTTCAACATAAAACCATACATGAGATGAGAAGAAGAAGAAGAACGAGAAAGCGGTCGTCATCGTTCAAGGCCAGCTAATGGACTCTGTCCGCATATACATATGCATATTTAGAATAGAAAAAACGATGACGTATGAAAAAAGAAAAAAAAAAGTTGGTTGCCGCATTCATGTTCTTCTTTATGCTTTCAACGAGCGTCGAGTGAGAGACGTAATCTTATTCAAGCATATAACGCGAAACCACTTGACCAACCGAATACTCTAGTTCGTTCTCTTGTTTGTTCGCCTTTTACTTAGGCCAGCCAGCCAGCCACCCAGACAGACAGACACACACACATAATCACTAATTCAATTTGCTGCCGACGCGGTCAGAGAGACGCGTCATCATCGTCTCCGATTCTCGTTCTCTTTCACACGTACTCATTGCCCATGGACATTGACATCTGCTGCAACACGTAGCACATTATCTTCAAACAATTTATAAGAAAAAAAATGTCTCTGTTATTATTGTATTTGACCGGACCTTGCCCTTTGTTTATCGGTCTGTCTGAATCAAACATAAATGAAAGTAGTCAACATCCGATATCATGGTCTCTTGAATACATATATATATATATATATTGTTATTATGAACGATGTGATTTGTTCATACAATGATGCTGACGTGCCCTAACAATGTAACCTTTTATCATAACAGACAGAGATTACGTTTATTGTCCGGTAAAATGTTATCGCACACGACGTTTGTACGATTTCTAACACATTCAGTTTCTTTCTTTTAGTCTTTCATCATCTAACAATAAGTAATATTAAGCAGACAGATAGACAAATGTAAAAACACATAAAGAAAAAAGTATGCAATGTATTGATTAATCAGTTGGATTGTGCACATCTAGATATAACAAGACACCCAAGTGTCTTGATTACGCGATGATAATAATAATGATGAGATAGTCTAATGCAATAGATCTCGTTAGTTTATGTCTGTGTCTGCTTAATCATCAAACGATAAGAATACATTTTGAACAAATGAATGATGAGAAATGAAAGAAAAATATCAAGATGAATACTTCTATACATTAACTGTTTTAAAAATAAAAAGAAAGACCTTTTCATCCAATTTATTTATCATTATTATTCATTCAGACAACGGATATGGTTAGGTTTTTATTCTTTGATTGTCTTGCACATAATAATTGTCGTTTATTTGATTATAGTTAGTAGAATGATGGATGATGAAGTATATTCTTACATTAATAATTGTCTGACTTGGGCACCAAATGTCATATCAAAGACATGTATTTTATTTTTATCATCAATAGATGAATGGTCCTTGTTTTATTTATACTTGTTAATTTCAGTTCTACTCAAATATTTATAAAACAAAATATTTCGATCCTTACAAAAAACAAAAAAAATATCAAACTGCTTATTGAAAATCTAATTAAAACTAAACTAGTCACTAAAATAAATTCTTTTAGTCAATCGAAATAATAAAGTCTAAGTTTATCATCAATAGCTTACTTTAATTAAGTTGTATCAAATTTCAACGGCTAAGTAATATCAGACTTCAGATATGTTTATCAAATTATGTTCGATCACTTGATAAGAATGATAATACTCATCAGAGTTAATTAATAACATCCAGAATATGTTTCTAATATTCTTTTAATTTTGCATTATTAATCTAAAAATAATTTCGTATAAAATGTCTTTCAAGCTAATCGGAGATTAAAATGTTTTTCAAGATTAATAATAGCTACAACGGAAGATAAAAAATTGCATATAACATTCAAATAATTCCATACCAATTGTTGGCGTTGATATCAATGACAGTTTTCTATTATATATTCATCG